GGACATACCAGGCATTCTCTGGTAAGATAAGGCCATATAGAAATACATAGATTAGTAATTATGGGTTAATAATTAGGACAGAGATAGCCAATAAGAAGCTCTAGCCATCCTCCAAAGTTTATAAATTAAAAAATGAGTTAGTCCCATGAGTCTTAGGGCATAGCTTCAGTGATCCCTTCCAAGAAAGAGGAGGGTACTGCACTGGCTGTCTCTTGGGCTGATGGTCTGAGACCTGATCATCATCCTGCGGCTCCCAGGGCAGAAGACTGAGGCAGCTATTTACCATCATGTGTCAGTGCTCCCCAAATAAATATGTGGTATTCTTTTATTCAGGCATTCGTGGATTTCATTAATCCTCCCACAGGAAAAAGAAGGATTGAAATGACGTCAACACAGTACTCATATAAATGCTCAAAAACTAAGAAATTTAAATAAAACTTCACAAAACTATAGAATAAATATTATTATAAGAAGCCTTTTATGGAGCAAAGGATTCATTGCAGAGGAGATTGTTCAAAGGGCTGGTGCTTCTATTACAATTAAAATGCTTCAGTTTAGAACAATTTTATCTACCTGAAGCTTTTCAGTTCTTAGCTTGGAAGCCCCAGTATACTTTGCATATCTCATTATAATGGCTGAACTATCCAAGGGGGAAAAAAAAGCCACTCCGTTGTGACTCAATAAATCAGGGAAAAAGAAAAGAACACTCACCCAAAGAGAAGCATGGAGAATAAACAGGAAAGATAGAAGATAAAACTCATAGAAACTCTAAAAAAAAATGTGCTCCCTCAAATCTGGTGGAACAGTTAAATAAAGCAAAATATATATATATATATATATATATATATATATATATATATATATCTCCACCCCTTCTGAAGAGGACTGAATGGCTAATTTTTTTTCACAAAACAAATTAGAAAATCCTATAAAATGGAAAACAGAAAATAAGAGTGAGAACAAAATGACATTAAATTGCAAGAAAATTCTCAGGGGGAAAAGAGGCATAAAATAAATGAAATCAAAGCCAGTTAGTGGACTAAGCATAACTCAGACACAAGAAAACACAAAAATGAATGGTTTTGAGAGATCTGAATAAATACTCTAAAGTGTAGTATGGAATAGATCTGAAAAGGAGAAATGTAATATAAAAACCAAACTACACAGAGAATATCATCATACTCCTAACACCTGACTAAAATTCTAGTTTTGTGGTAGGAGAGATAGCACCTATTTTGTGTTCATGAATAATATTAATCCTTGGACTCATGAAGCCAGACAAACCAACCCAGTAGTAAAGAATTTCAGCTCCAGATATATCATGACTGTATAGAGTGAGCAGTACTGCCAGGTTTGAATCCTGCTTGCAACATTTAATAACCAGATTCTGGTTGATAAAAGTGGATATACAAAACCTAGAGATAGTGGCACATGCCTTTTATCCCAGCACTGGAGAGGCAGAGGCAGGCAAATCTCTGTGAGTCTGAGGGCAGACTGGTCTTTAGAGTTGAGTTCCAGGACAGGCTCCAAAGCTGACAAGTACCCATCTTATCAACTGTTACAAAGATTAGATGAGCTGGTATCTACTAGAATGTTCTTCAGTAATACTGGATTACTTCAAATATTTTTCTCTTGAGTATTCACCAAGGTGTTAGGAACTGGAGACTGGCTTCTTATTGTAATTGATTAGCCTGACTTAACAAACCTTATCAAGCCACATGTCCTTGTATGAAGAGGGGACACCACATAGGAGAGTGACAGAGGACATGGGATGCTTTAGCTGCAAGAAAGAAACAGTCACTGTGTTTCTTTGGCTCCAATGGCCCAAAAAGAACATCTCGATTTGCTTCATTGAGCCTGAATTGGAAAGGATCCTAGGTTCTCACCCTATTATCCAGAATGCAAATACCTTCATTCCAGGGAGGACACACCAGATATCTATCTCTAAGGTCTTGTCTTTATAATAGGAAACAGCCCCCGAGTCTTCCCGACCTAACTGAGGAGGGCAATGTAACTGTTAACATTTAGGCCTTACCAAGCAGTTAGCTATGGAAATGGCAGATCTATGACAGGTGAAGTCCATGACAGGGTGGCCTGGGAATTTTATAGATGAATTGGAAACACGGTGAAGGTCTAAATCCCTAACAGAGGTGACCACAAGCGCAAGAGGAGTAACTGAAGTTTCTGACACACAAACAAAAGTACATTTATGTTACTAAAATAATAAAGATACGGGGAGAATAAAATGCATAACTTGCATAATAAAATACATAATTGTATGGAGGGAACAATAAAGGCAAAATCTGTCCTTTGAAAACTAATAAATCAACCAACTTCTGGACAAAAGAATAAAAGTAAGAAATATTCAGGATAGAAGAAGAAATACAGAGATCTGGGAACAAAAAGATAAAAAAGAGAATTTCAGAGCAAATTTATCAGTGCTATTAGACTGGAAAACACTCAGCATTCCACGGGCAAGTTGAACCCATGAAAGTTCTGTGAAGCAGTACTGTGCTCATGGTAATGTTGCCTCCAGAGACAATTGCATGTGTGCACTGAAAGTGATGTCAATAGTACTCCTAGAATCGATGTTTAGAACAGAAAGAAAATAGAATACAAAACATCTATGTACAAGAGAATCAGAATGTTTGTAGTAACTTCATCCAACATGGATCAACTGTAAAATCTATGCATTATATGTTATAACATACCTTGCAAGCACTGTTGGAAAAAAATAGCAAAGTTGCAATTAAATACTTACTGCATAATGCTGTGTACACAAATTCAAGAACTACCCAACCTAAGGAAATTGCTTTTAGAAATGTGCATTCATGCTCACATGAAGAGGTTATTGTTAAATATAAAGGAATTCTAAATGGAACACTTAGAACCACGATTAGGCTGAAGTCACTCTACAGATAGTCAGTTCAGGAGCATTTGAAGGGGTGTACTTCCCAACATGTTGTTGAGAACATTCTGTTCATTCGGGGGAGCACATGCCTATACAATTGGTATTTACATTGCACTTATAATTATGTGTGTGAAATTATTCAAGGCAAAAAGGATAAGCGGGCAGAAGAAAGAGAAGGAGGAGAAAGGGAGACAAAGAAAGAGAAATCGCTCATAAAATCCTTGTGTAAATTAGTGGCTAGGTAGAAATGGAACAGACAACAGCCTAGACCCTCTTCTCTGCAATGGATTACATTTAGCATGTTACATTTTCTTACACAATGCAGTGCTTTATAGTGTGAGACTGAAGACATGCCTCAGCAGTTAAAACTGCTTGCTGCTCTTCCGTAGGCCCCGAGTTCAGTTCCCAGAAGTTCCCACCTTGGGCAGCTCACAACTACCTGTCACTCCAGCTCCAGGGTATCAGAGGCTTTCCTCTGGAGACCGTAGGCACCTGCACTATGGATATTCACATATTCACATAATTTTAAAAAATAAAATATTTAAATAAAAAAATTGGGTTTTTGGGGCAGTGTGTTTCTCTCTGTGTAGCTCTGGCAGTTGTGGAATTCGATCTGTAAACCAGGTTGGCCTGGAACTCGAAGAGATCCACCTGCTTCTGCATCCTGAGTGGTGGGATCAAAGGTGTGTTCCACCACCACCTGGCTTAAGTAAAGATTTTTTAAAAATTTATAAATAAGTAATAAAGAAAATAAATGTAAAATATCGTGTTAACAAGCAGAAAGGAGAACTGATACTTTTGGAGTTAACACTGTAACCATGACTTCAGAATTCTTAAATGTTGCTTTAACAGAGGCATCCAGTTTATACTGATTAGAGATGAAATGTGACCAGCTGCCTCACTCTCCTACAACTGTGACTTCCCAGTGACAATCAATTGTAACATGGAATTGTGATTAAATTGCTCTTGTCGGAATATTGTATCACAGCAACAGGAAAAGATGCCAAGATAGCAATTGTTAAAGAGGATTGAAAGTTTGATTGACAGAACCCACCAGCTACTTTAAAGACAGAAAGAAAAATGTACATTTACAAACACACATGCCTTTATAGCTCAAAAAAAACCAAAACTACAATGTATAAACAAACTCTCCACAAAACTCTCCTTCACATAAAGTCTCACTATTTTAAATGCAAGGGGAGGAGTTTGTTGTATAGACTATCTTCACACCACATCTTTCCTCTCTGTGTGTTAATGCTCCACTTTTTGCTAATTATATGTACGTGTGCAAATAACTTAAGTGTTAGAAAATCCAAAGCACTCTTAATTCCGCCTTCACCCCAAAAACAGAATAAGAAAGTTCTAGCCTTCATGGTGGACAGAGAATTGAATAGCAAAACCATATTTCACAGAAAAATCTAAATTGACTTCTCAGGTTATGAATACTTGATTATGGTAGACATAATGCAGAAATAGCCCCATTTAAACTCATTTGGAAAAGGCAGCCATTCGTTATGCCAAACCTAATGGCTAGAAAGGAGAAAAGGGAGTAATTTTGAGCTGACAGCACATACATATAGACAAATATTCTCACTTTTCTGTGGTAGAACAGAACCTACTGAGGACCATTGTAGAAGTGGTGTCCAAATGATGGGCAGAGAGTCATGGTGCCAGAAAAAAGACAAGGTATACAAAAAATCCAAAGGAAAATTTTGCATATACTATATGTACATGATTAATTTATGCACCATGAAAAAATGTGTTCTTTAGGAAGACAAAGACAGTCTGGAATTCACCCTTATTACACACCAAGTCAACATTTTAACATCACTATCCTTAAGAAATGGAGGGAAGACAGAGTTAGGATTTTGCATTCATTGGATGATATTTGCAGAATTGGCAGTAATCCTGAAAACACCACATTTCTCCTTTCAATGTCATCTTGAAGGCAGCTCTCTGCATTTTTACTTAAAGAAAATTGCTAGGGGGAACCCATACCTAATAAAACTGAACAGACCAGTGGAGACAGCATGTGGCAATCTGTTTAAAGGAACATCTCGCACAGACTGTGGGACGCAGCAGAGCTTACCTTTGTGATGGTTTGCACTGGAAACAGCTTTCCCCCACAAGGTCACAATAAAAATTATTATCAGCAGCTTTCCTTTTGTTGCCTTCTGTAAGTATCTCTTACTCATCCTGTAACACAAAAGCAATACAATTCCTCAGAACATGAAATCATTGCATTTCTGTAATCATACCACATGCAACTCTTTAATGATATCTTGATATAGATGTCCCCAGGAAAGTGAAGTTTTCACATTGATGGCTCTATTCACATAAACTATGTTACAATGCTTAGTTTTGTTGTCAGTGTTGTTATTTGTGGTTGCTGCTGTTGTCCTCATTGTTTGCAACAGGCTCTTGCTAGGTAGCCTATTCTGGTTTTGAACTCATAAACTTCCTATCTCAGGTTCCCAAATATGAATGAGGATTACATACATGTATGAGGTGCAATGCCCAACTATATATGAACTCTGAATGGGGAATAGAAGTTTTACAAACAAAGCATTTTCATATGACTGCAGAATCAAGCAACATCTTGCTTTTGTCCCTTTTTATCAACTTAAAACAATTTAGAAATCTTATCATTTCCTTGTTCATATAAACATACATTTAATTTGTTAAGGAAATTTAAGTCACAGCCATTTAAATGACATTGTTTGCTTTTACACCCTTAAGATTCTTAATACTAGACTTCCACACATGTTCTATGGCATATTCACACCCATTAACATATACACACAAAATAATAAATGTCAATTGCTTTGATGAATTTGCTCAGAGAGAAGTCATTTCAAACTTATCATTTGAGGTGGGATTTTAAAAAATTTCTTATTGCCAACTAATCACCCCAAACTACTGTGTACCACTCCACAGTGGGAGACTCAATATTGTTGAATTCAACTTATTGTACTTTATCATAAATAGGAGAAAAAATGAAAAATCAGAATTAAAAAAGTAAACATTTTCAAACTGAACTCATACCTAAGAAAATAAAAATAAGATAACTGCTTCTTTATCAAAATAAACTCAGTGTCTACTTTGCCCAGTGCCTTACACAGTATTTCTCTTGTTCTTCAGAGTAAAATGTCTAACATCATTTTGTAGCTGATAGAATTTAGAAAAATTTTAAGGTCATATTTAATGATAGAGTAAATATTCAACCCAGAATGACATAATGCTAATATCCTTATTTAAGCTACTACAATGGTGAGGCTAAAGCAGAACCAAGATGAACAGATTCCATGTGCATTGAATCAAGAACAGATAAGCAACTTAAACAGACCTATAGCCTCTAAGGAAATAGAAGCAGTCATCAAAAGTCTCCCAACCAAAAAAAGCCCGGGGCCAGATGGATTGACCTCAGAATTCTACCAGAAATTCAAAGAAGTGCTAATACCAATAATCCTCAAATTGTTCCACAAAATAGAAGCAGAAGGGACATTGCCAAACTCTTTTTACAAAGCTATAATAACCTTGATACCTAAGCCACACAAAGACACAACTAAGAAAGACAACTACAGACCAATATCCCTCATGAACATTGATGCAGAAATTCTCAATAAAATCCTCAAAAATCGAATACAAGATCATATCAGAGAAATCATCCAACATGATCAAGTAGGATTCATCCCAGGGATGCAAGGATGGTTCAACATACAAAAATCCATCAATGTAATCCACCATATAAACAAACTGAGAAAAAAACCCACATGGTCATCCACTAGATGCTGAAAAAGCCTTTGACAAAATCCAACACCCCTTCATGATAAAGGTCTTGGAGAAATCAGGGATACAGCCAACATCAAATTAAATGGAGAGAAACTTGATCCAATTTCTCTAAAATCAGGGACAAGACAAGGCTGTCTAGTCTCTCCATACCTCTTCAATATTGTCCTTGAAGTACTAGATAGAGCAATAAGACAACACAAGGAGATCAAGGAAATACAAATCGGAAGGGAAGAAGTCAAACTCTCACAATTTGCAGAAGATATGATAGTCTACATTAGTGACCCGAAAAACTCTACAAGGGAACTCCTACAGCTGATAAACACCTTCAGCAAAGTGGCAGGATACAAGATTAACTAAAAAAAATCCATAGCCCTACTATACACCGATGACACATTGGTGGAGAAAGAAATCAGAGAAACATCACCCTTTACAATTGCCACAAACAACCCAAAACCCCTTGTGGAAACACTAACCAAAAATGTGAAAGACCTGTACCATAAGAATTTTGAGTCTCTAAAGAAAGAAATTAAAGAAGATACCAGAAAATCGAAAGATCTCCCATGCTCTTGGATAGATAGGATCAACATAGTAAAAACCTTGCCAAAAGCAATCTACAGATTCAATGCAATCCCCATCAAAATCCCAACACAATTCTTCACAGACCTTGAAAGAATAATTCTCAACTTTATATGGAGAAACAAAAGACCCAGGATAGCCAAAACATCCCTAAACAATAAAGAAACTTCTGGAGGCATCACCATCCCTGATTTCAAGCCCTATTACAGAGCTATAGTCCTGAAAACAGCTTGGTATTGGCACAAAAATAGACAGGTAGGCCAATGGAATACAACTGAAAACCCTGATATTACCCCACACACCTATGAACACCTCATTTTTGACAAACAATTCAAATTTATATGATGGAACAAAGAGAACATCTTCAACAAATGGTGCAGGCATAACTGGTTGCAGACATGTAGAAGACTGCAGTTAGACCCAAGCCTATCGCCTTGTAGAAAACTTAAGTCAAAATGGATCAAAGATCTCAACATAAATCCAGCTACACTGAACCT